GGAGCGATCTATCCCGATCCTAGCCCTGTTTTAAGTAGATCTCGTCTGCGGACGGGGCGTTGTACCACCGGAGCTGGTCTTCCAACCACGTCTCTGCCTCCACCTGGTCGTTGCATCCAAGAGGGTTGCCGAAGACGGCGGTCTCCTGCTTGGAAGCGGTTTCCCTTGGAGCCAAGGGAGCCAGCGGCGTTTCTCAGCTCGGCGGATCTCCGTCGCCTTGATGTGGTCCATGACGTCCTCGTGAACAGTCGACGGAACGTGGGTCCCCTCAAGGTTCTCCAAATTGGTGATGCGCATTTCAATGTTTTCCATGCGCTCTTCCACCGCCGCCATCTTCGTGTCGAGCCGGTTCCCCAGGCTGGCGATAGCAGTCCGTAGTGGTTGGACCTATTGTCTGAATAGGTGCGCGATTTCATGAAGTGCTGCTGGGCGTGCCTCGGGTGCTGAGTTGCTTGCCGTTGCGCTCGCGCTGAATGCTTCTGGGGGCGTTTCGGGAACCTGCGGGGCAATGGGCGATGAGATCTGATGCACCTCCGGGCGGGGTGGAGACAAGTCGAGATCATCTAACCCATCCATCTCGTGGAGCGGGCTGAAGAGGCTTCGGCGTACGTCGCGCGAAAGAGTTGCTCCGACTGGTGTCCCTGGCATCCGTGCGTTCGTGTCAGCCATCGGAATATACGGGTATGGAAAAGGACAGTTGGGAATGTCGGATGTGGAGAGGGGCGGTGTTAACGAAATTGTCGCCCCGCGCCGCGCACACTTGAGCCGTAAGCGCTTAAGTCCCACTTACGCGGCGGACGCAAGTTCAAATGGAAACAGGGGGATTTGCGGGCTGTACCATTACAACATCCTTCTGCTGGCAGAGACGGGAAGGATGAATGTGAATTCGAGTTTCGGGCATTGCGCGAAAGAGTCGTGGATCGAAAAATGCTGGTTTGATTCTTGAGTTGGCCCCAGAGGTGCTGGGCTGACCACATAGCCCATCGACAATGTTGAACCAACGAGGTTGTGAGAGAACCAGTGTGTCCTCAACACAAGGAGTGACACCATGGTAAAAAACATGGAATGACATTGTCATGATATTTTCACGTTTTGGCAGTTGTACCACCGATGCTCCCCAAGTCTGTGTGTCCTACATGTTTTTTTTCTGAGCGAAATGTCCAGTGGTCATGCAAACCATGTTGTTTGTTCATTGTGCATCGGATGCGTTTTGTAATGTATGTCGTTGCATTGCAGCACGTTGATTTTGCAATACACTGCTCTTCATAGCATCGCTTCGTATTTATGCCCAACCCACTGATTTATATGGCATTCGCTTCGCGCCGTATTGCACTACATTGCGATATGTTGTCCTGCACTGCTTTGAATTGTGTTGCATTCCATTCGCTTTGCGCAGCAATGCTTCGGCTTGTATTTCAATGGTAGCGCGGTGCACTGCAGTGAGCAGCAACATCATTGCGACGTAGCTTCTGCACGGCAAGGCACTCCATAGCAAAACAACTAATTTCGACCCACACCCAAAAGCAACGCAACGCAACCTATATCAGATACGCGTGCAGTAATGCAAACCAGATGAGCAACACATATCACATACTATCATGCAAGCGCACACCATGTCAAATAGCGCAATGCGAAGCTCAGTCAAGCAACTTTAGCCAAGCCACAACAAGCGAAGCAATTCACTGCGATACCATGGAATTGCACTTGCTCTTGTAAGGCAGTATCAAACTAGTGTAGTGCAAAGAAAATCAACAACACTCCCTCTGTGGCGGAGAGTTTCCTTGATTAGTGTTGTTCGAGATCGTTCTAAGCTTCAGCCTGCCGGTAGTCTTGACACGTCGTGTTTCTTCATTTGATTTGCGATCTGCCTCGAGCAGAAGACTGTCCAAATAGAGTTCGCGGCGGGTTCATTTGGTTGTCGAGGGTGCGGGTTGACATTGTACATTGCTCCCGCCTGTCCTGTGACCACCCTCGGCCATCCAGCGGCATTGCTGTCATGCTCAATCCGTTCACGGCCAGGGGGGCATTGATTCAAAGCTACCGCACCCATGGGCCCTTCGAGGGCCGCTTGAGCATGGGGTTACTTGGCCCTTGCGCAGGGGTCATGGAGTCGCAGGTAGGGGCCAGTGGGCGGTCTTGGGGGGCCTGTCTAGGGCGCAGGGGTTCAATTGGGCACTCTCGATGAGCCTCAGTAGAATCATCCTTGGGCGGTCTAGACGGGTCTTGTGGTGGAGACGGCTCTTGCGCTGGCAGTCTTGGAGCTGTCGTGAAATTGTTTCGGTCCCGGGCTAGGTGGGGCCCTTTCTGGGGCCGTTTTGGATGCTTCTTGAGCCCTCAAGAGTTTTCTAAAGCCACCTCGCGGCGAGAAGCACGGAAAGCACACAGCAGCGGTAGATGCGAGATCGTCTTCATGGTTTTAGCTTTCAAGGGCCCTGCTGGGCAGCTCCTGCGGAGCACCTCGGAAGCATCGTGCAGTATCTTGTGCCTCTTGGGAGCACCCGGGGCCTCGAATAGGTATCCTGATATCTTGCGCGTCTTCAGCTGGTCTTGGGCTACTGGCAGTCAGCATTGTGTGTGTGCGTGTCGAAGTGGGCTGTCGCCGTAGGAAAGCCACAGACACCCTATTAAGTCTCCCAGACGAGCAGGAGTTCTAAGACTCCCCAATGTGCAGTTGGCACGCTGATGGCTTCCCAGAGTTATCAGAGTTCCACAGGGATGGAGTCATGCGGGAGCGAGGAATATCGACAAGTAGAGGAATGATGACAAGAGCATGGATGGACGGGACATGGGGAGGGAGGCGGGGAGAAATATGGAGGCACACGAACAACGATGGGAATGATCGATACACGATGACGACAAACATAACGATGACAGAAGTTCGGGGAAGGGACAACCGTTGGAATGATGAGAAATGAACCGCCAGCCAGAACCAAGGCGATTCGCCCTCCCCTAAAGCATCGTTTTCACAGCCAGTGGTGGAGCATCGCGCTACACGAACACGGTGGACTGAGCATACCTTCAATGCGTATATGCCATTCGGAGCGGAATTGCGGAACAATCCTTAATGTGTTGCGTATCCCCACCAGCCCATCCAGACACGATGCCCAGAGGAGCTGCCCTGAACACTTAGAGGTCCCTTTGGGCCTGTTGACGGCTCTTAGGAGGCGTCTTGGAGCGTCTTGTGTTCATCTTGGGGCTTCCTCGGGGCCGCTTGGGGACCTCTGGGTGGCCTTTTGAGGCTCTCTTGGGAGCTCTTCGGGCCGTCCTGGGGTCACCTTAGAGGCTATCGATCGAAACATGGGGGTCTTGCATTCGCCTCGCCACGCCACCTCGGGAGGCCAAACTGGAGCCACCACTTAGGACAAACACATTTGGTTTGCCCTTCTCGCTGAGGCCACCCTCGAACTGCTCCGGAGTGCCCCCGTTCAGACCCATAGGGAGGTGATAGGGCGAGGGGCAACTCCCTCCCCGAAGGGGAAGAAGGGGGGAGGATGGACGAGGAAACGGCCTATACCACCTCAGCCCAGAGGGCTGGCTGGTGGGGTTTGATAGCGACGTTGTGCAGCTGCTGGCGGACAGCCCGCCACCATGCCAGCGCGACACCGCAGCAGGATCTGAGGTTGGGTCTGAAACGCGCGCCAGGTCGGCGGCGTGCCTGATCTGGCGCGGGTGCGGGTCATTGGCACGTTCTCCGCGTCCGCAGTTCTGTTCTCCCCCTCCTTCCGGTTGGTTACCCCCGCCCCCTCCCCCCCGCCTCACTTCTCCCTCACCCCTCTGGAGGGACGGAGGGAGGGAGGGAGGGAGGGAGGGTGGGCTGGGCGGCCATTTTGGCCTCGCCGAGAACGGCGGCGGGACGGGCCGCGGCTGCTGCCGCTGACGACGCCGTCGACGTTTTTTTCGCTTGCCCTTGGGGCCCCGTACGAGTGCAGGTGTGCTTGCTGCGTGCGTCGGCTCGCCCCGTGCGCCGCCCGCCGTGTGCCGTCTGTTGCCTCGTGCCCGGCCCCTCTCCCACAAGCACACAGACACAAACAAATCACAACCACAACCACAACCACAACCACACAAACAAGACACACAACGCACACATAGACACACTCAAAACACACACCACAAAACACACAGCACACACACCACACAACACACAACACACTACACACTACACACAGCACACATCACACGACACACAACACACACCATAACACACACCTCACAACACACACAACACAAACCACATCACATACACACCACACACACACAATACGCACCACACACAGCACACACACACAACGCACATAACACACAACTCACATCACACAGCACATATCACACAACACATACCACACACCATACAACACACAACACACACCACACAACACACACACAACACACACTACCCACAACACAACACACAGCACACAACACAACACACAATACACACCACACAACGCACACCATACACACAGCACACACTACACAACACACAGCACACACACACAACGCACATAGCACACAACATACAGCACAAAACACATCACACAACACACAGCACACAACACATAACACGCAACACATAACACACAACCACGCACATTCACACATTCACATACACACACACACACACCTTTTGGGGTCATCTCGGAGGCGCCCTGAGGCTTCTTGTGGGCCTGGGGCCCTCTTGGGCTCCTCTTGGCGGCATGCTGGGGGTCCGTCGGGGGGTTCGGGGCTGCTCTGGGCGCGGTGGTTCCACCTAGATCCCTTGGCAGTGGCTCGGCTGACCAAGCGTGGGGGACCTCTGGGCGGGTCCCTGGGGCCACGTCGGAGGGTGGGGAGCGTTTTTTGTTTCGGACGGCGGTCGCGCCAGGTCTGGGGGTCGCGCGAAGGATGGGGGTCAGCACATGCCATATCAGTAGCACGCATTCTAGCACGTCCCTCGCGTGCCGTGGGCACGGTGACGGCCACGTTGGGGGCAGAGCTTGATATTTCCCATGCAGATATTCCAGGCCATTACTCCAGCGACTCCACCACCGACACTAGAACCGTCGCCAGCGCCGACGCCATTACCGACGTCAGCGCCCACGCAGTACTGTGTGAATGACCCTGCTGATTGGATGAGCGTGTCCGGAACAAGTTGCTCTGCTTATGTAACGTTCCGATTTTGCACTCGGTCTGGGGGCTATGGCACCGGATGGTCCCAGAGTTATGGCACCTTCGCAGATTGGGCGAATGACGGGCACGACGCTACGACAGCATGTTGCGATTGCGGCGGTGGCCGCTTATCAGATACTCCTCCCACGATCACGCCGACGCCATCGCCATCGCCAGCACCGACGCCAGCACCAACAACAGATCCGTCGCCATCGCCGACACCAGCACCAACGCCAGCACCAACGCCATCGCCGACACCAGCGCCGACGCCAGCGCCGACACCAGAACCGACGCCAGCGCCGACACCAGCACCGACGCCAGCACCAACACCAGAACCGTCGCCATCGCCGACACCAGCACCAATGCCAGCACCAACGCCAGCGCCGACACCAGCGCCGACGCCAGCGCCGACACCAGAACCGACGCCAGCGCCGACACCAGAACCGACGCCAGCACCGACACCAGAGCCGACGACAGCGCCGACGCCTGCGCCGACACCAGAGCCGACAGCACTTCCAACGCCAGCGCCGTCTTCAGCACCAACGCCAGAGCCGTCGCCTTCGCCAACACCAGCACCGACACGGGTCTCGTTCGATGCGTTGCATGACGCCTTAAAGATGTGAAGATGCATCCAACAGGCCCCGAAATGATCCGTGGCCCAAGAGTTCCCCAAGACGCGTGCTTGCGTTTTTCATGGTTGTCCTCCATACATCCGCCGATTTTTTGTTGGGGACCCCCCCTCCACTCCGCCATGCGGGCGTAGCTACTGGCCGCAGGTAGAGCTTTCTGTGGGGCACGATCCTTCTGACGGGTGTGCCGAAAGGGGAGACGAGTACGGCGTGCGGGTGCGGCCATTAAGGCCGTAGGTGGAGCTCCCTGTGGGGCGCGATCCGCGTGAGGGTTCTGCCGAAACGGACATGCGAAGAGCAGAGGAAGGGAGAGGAGGAGGGGGTAGGAGGTGAGAAATACAACACAGGAGGGTTGGGAGGAACTACTCCCGCCTTCCCATCCCCTTTCTCGACCCAGCTCCCAGAAAACCTCAAGCACCCGTCGCGGGGTGTCCACGAGGGGTCAGCCCCGAAATCCTGCGTAAGTGTCGTTCTCCAGTGCCAGACGCTTTTCTGACACCTCCTCGGCCTCTGGGTCTTTCGGTCCCTTCGTCGTCCCGCCCCCGCCCCACCGCCCACCGAACTACCACGCCGTTCTCAGATATATTGTCCTCTGTATTTTGAAGCGCCTCTCCCAGTGCAGTCGGATGGCTCACTGGTCAAGGATTGCACCACAATGGTTGCGCACCCAGAGTGCAACAACCCACAGCTTGGGATCTACGCAGGCAAATTGCCCTTGGGAAATATCACCATGTGGCGAAGCCAAATGTTCACTAAAGACTTGACCCCCCCGGGCTGTTCACTCGATGTTTGCCCCCCAGTGGTTTAGCATACGTTCCTGTTGTGCGGCACGTTGAGGTGGCTGGAGGTTCCATCATGCTGTCCGCTCCCATCTTCGCCCTCCGAAACAAAATATGCGGTTAAGCCACACTCAGCTCAGACACGTCCCGCCTGCAAGCAATAAACATGATGCTCACACGCGTGAATCACACGCGCGTGTTGTGTCAATCCACGCTGGAAATAACCGCGCGGACTACGCGCGCTCACATGTCAAGGTTACTCAACAACCTCTACCATGCCGCTGTAATATAACATCCTATACATACTCCACGCGCGCTCATCTGCAAGCAATAATAAGAGCGTGCGATGCTCATCAATCTACTTTTGCAGTGCAGACTGCTCGATGCCATGGGATCGTGCCGCGCCGAATATTTGCTCTCCACTTGGACAATGCAAGCAAAGCGCGGTGCACAAGTTCATACATACAGCGTGCCGATTGGGCCATGCGCGCACAACAATCTGCATCAACGCCATCGTCAGCATCGGCACATGAAGTCACCAACGTACGCGGCGTTGTGCATGGATTCGGGCGGAAACATCGAGACTGCGCGCGCGCCAAGCCCCACCAACGCTATTGGCACTATGCGCGCATGGGCCGATCAAATTACACGGCTTCGCGCATGGACTTGGGACACAGTTGGTAATCCGACAAGTTCCTATCGCTAAGTTATCTCCCGCCCCTTGGCATGACAGAGGGGCTCTCTTCCCCGAGCCGTGCATGCACTCGAGGATTCTTGCATCCTCCTCTTGAGAAGTGGGATGGCCAAGTCGAGGTTTCGCTTGGCGCCCGGTTGGTGGACGCCTCGTACAGCCGGGGCCCTGAAGAAGGAACCCTTTTCGTTGGGGAGGAGCTCCGTGTTCCTTGATTGCTTCACAGGTTGCCTTGGGGTTCCCTTGAGTTTTCGATGGGAGATCGAAGTTCAACTGGTGGATAGAAGGGGCCCAGTTCCTCATTTAGGGTTCCTTGGGTCAACGCTCCGACTGTAGGCGCTTCGTGTTGGGGGGGGGGCTCGGCCGAGGCTCCGCCCGGCACCCGCGCCTTGGGCACCGCGTGGGCGCCTCGTGTGCCGGGCGGGTCGGCCGAGACCTCGCCAAGGTGCCCGCCCGCGGGCTCCTCGCGGGTGCCCGCGTGTGCGGTGCCCCGAGGGCGCCTCGCGGGCGCGCCTCGTGGGCGCCTGGCGTGTCTGCCGGGCCCGCCGAGGCCCCGCCGGGTGCCCTCCCCCCCCCCCCCCCTCCGCGGGCGCCTCGTGGGCGCGCCTCGTGGGCGCGCCTCGTGGGGGCGCCCTCGTGGGCGCCTCGCGCGCGCTGGGCGACCCCGTCGAGGGTACTTTTTGCTGTTTCTCGCTTGGCCAAGCAGCCTGCACCACGTCGCTGGCAGCACATGGCTTGCACCACCTTGCGCCACACACACACACACCACATCGCGCAGCTTGCACCTGCACCGCACAGACTGCACCACGTATACAGCTTGCACCACGCAGCCTGCACCGCGTAGCTTGCACCACGGAGCTTGCACTGCATAGTTTACGCCACATAGTTTGCGCCACACAGCTCGCGCCGCATAGCTTGCACCGCACAACTTACTCCGCACATGTTGCACCACTTAATTTTAACCAGCTGGCTCACGCATCCACAGTGCAATGACTGACTGTTTTGGGTCCACGCTGGTAAAGATGGCACGAAGGCTTACGAACGCATATCGCTTTATGATTAGGTAGGTGGGTGGGATTGGTGCGAAATCTCAGGTGCAGTTTTTCTAGTTATCTAGTATGCAACTTGCGATCGGCTTGTTATGGTTCGCAATTCGCATTGTATCTACATTGCCAGATGATGTCATCACGTGAAGGGCTTACGCAGCCATTCTTACTACCACATGGTGCACGTTGTAACGTCGATCAGTCGAAGACTGACAGCGAGTAGGCAGGCATATGTGTAGCATCTAGCAGTATGTCGGCCCGTATGTCGAACTTCACCTGCCTTGTGGAAGTCGCAGGCTCCCTGGTCTTACGATACACAATTCGAAAATGCGTTTTGCCGAAATCGTGGAGGTCTGGGTGGAAGGAATAAGTTCTCAACCAACGTAGGATCGAACAACGTTCAATCATGTGCGATGTATGTGCGATCCGTTGCAGAATGCGGCTCTTGGTTCAATTATGGACGGTTTGATGGATGGTGCGATTGCGTCAGGGAAGTAGATGGCGATTGTTTACCACAATCATGGTGGGGTTATGATGTCTACAAGATTCAGGCGGCAACTCTCTTGCGTTTTGTTTCCAGATGTTTCAGCCCTCTTTGTCGCCACATCTGTCTTTCTGACATATGGTCTCCACCGTTGTGTGGTCTACCCTACTCTACGTGGCTTTTCTTACCTCCCCCTGTACCAAGAGCTTACCATACGATGCGATCGTTATTCTAGACGATACTCGTAACCCCACCAGCCCATCCAGAAACGATGCCCAGACGAGTTGCTCTGATCAGGAACGTAGAGGAGCATGCAGTGTACTGAAGGGCTGGGTAAGATGTGATACCCCAAGGGAGGATGGAGGAGGAATCGGAGGAGGAGGAGGAGGAGGACGAGGATGAGGAGGAGGAAGAGGGGGAGGGGGGCAGGGAGGATGAAGGAGGAGGAATAGGCAGATGAGGAAAAGGAGGGGAACGAGGAGGAGGAGGAGGAGGAGGAGGAGGAGGGCGAGCAGACATGCCAGAGACTTCTTGGATGCCTCTAGGAGTCTTTCCGGATGGCTTTCGAGAGCTTCTTGGAGTCTTCTTTGGGCGTCTTGAGGGCTTCTTGGCATTCCTGGGGGCCTCTTGGGGCGTCTTGGGTGCTTCTGGGGGGGGCCTCTTGGGGCCTCCAGGGGATCTCTTGGGAGCTCGTCGGACTCTTGGGGGCCTCTTTGGGGCCTCTTGAGGCCTCCCAGGCACCTCTTTGGGCCGTCTTGGGACACCCTTGGGAGCCTCGGGGGCCATCTTGGGGCCATCTCGGAGGAGATCGACGCCTCTCGGGCCGTCTTGGGGCTCTCTTGGGCCCTTTTGGGGCCCTCTTGGAGATCTTGGGGGCCTCTCGGGCCGTCTGGGAGCGTTGGAAAGTCGAACAGGCTAGGAAATCAATGACTTTGCCCTCTTGGGGCCCTCTTGGGGGGCTCCTTGGAGGCCTCTTAGGGCGTCTTGGAGGCCTCTTGGACCGTCTGGGGGCCGCCTTGGGCTTCTTGGAGCGATCGTTCGCCGACTCGGGACCCTCTTGGACCGTTTTGGAGGCCTTTGCGGCCCTCTCGTTCCGTCCTGGGGCCCCCTTGGGCCAGATAGAGTCATGTGGGAAGCCGCGGCAAGCCCAAGGAGATCTGTGATTTCGGGGTCCTGGCCCCTTGGAACCCGAAGGATTGAGGACTGAGGCTCAGGCGATGAGGCAATGGACCTGAGGACACACCCAAACCGTGCCCAGAGGCACAGTGGCGGATAACAAATCAGGCCAGCATTCCAGCGACGCCAGCGCCGACGCCATCCCCGACGCCAGAGCCTGCGCAGCACTGCGTGGATTCCCCTCTTGGTTGGACCAGCTCGACCGGCGCAAGCTGTTCTGATTATGTAAAATACCAGTTGTGCACCGAGTCTGGAGGCTACGGACTCGGGTGGCTACCGAGTTATGGCATTTTTGCAGATTGGGCGAAGGACGGGCACGACGCCGCGACAGCGTGTTGTGGTTGCGGCGGTGGCCGCTTATCAGATCCTCCTCCAGAGTTGGATTGCGTGGACGACCCCGAGCATTGGGCAAGCAGTACTGGAGCAACTTGTGCTGTGTATGGGGCGCGTATGTTCTGCACCAAGTCTGGGGGCTATGGGCCTGGGTGGAATAGGTTGTGGGGCACGTTTGCAGATTGGGCTGTCGACGGGCATGACGCTTCAACAGCATGTTGCGTTTGTGGCGGGAGCTCTTTGAGGCAGCCAACACCAGCACCATCACCAGGACCCACTCCAGCGCCGACGCCGGCCCCATCACCATCGCCCACATCTGCACCTTCGCCAGCACCGACACCAGAGCCAACACTATTGCCAACGCCAGCGCCGACGCCAGCACCAACACCAGAACCGACACTCACACCGACGCCAGAACCGACGCCAACACCAACACCAGCACCGACACCAGCGCCGACGCCAGCGCCGACACCAGAGCCTACGCCAGAACCTACGCCAGAACCTACGCCAGAACCGACACCAGCGCCGACGCCAGCGCCGACGCCAGAACCTACGCCAGAACCTACGCCAGAACCGACACCAGCGCCGACGCCAGCGCCGACCACAGAACCAACGCACGCACCGACAGCAGAACCAACACCAGAGCCGACGCCATCGCCGACACCAGCACCGACACCAGAGCCGACACTAGCACCAACCCCCTCACCGACACCAGAGCCAACACCAGAACCGACGTCATCGCCGACACCAGCACCGACACCAGAGCCGACACTGGCACCAACGCCAGCACCGACACCAGAGCCGACACCAGAACCAACACCATCGCCGACACCAGCACCGACGCCAGCACCGACACCAGCTCCGACACCAGCTCCGACACCAGAGCCAACGCTATTGCCAACGCCAATGCCAACCCCAGCGCCGACATCAGAACCGACAGCAGCGCCGACGGCAGCACCGACGGCATTACCGACGCCAGAACCGACACCAGCGGTGAAATCCGAGCAGACACCATTACCACAGGAGATGCCGACGCCATTCTGTACGGACTACCCCGTCGGATGGGAAAGCAGCTCCGGATTGCCTTGCTCTGCTTATAGGGCATACAGTCTTTGTACTGAGTGTGGGCGATATGGTCCCGGGTGGAAGATGGAATGGGGCACATTCGCAGATTGGGCGCACGACGGCTATGATGCCACGCAAGCGTGCTGCGTTTGTGGCGGGGGGCTCCTCGAGGTTTCTACAAGAGCACCGTCACCAGCACCGTCGCCAGCGCCGACGTCAGCGCCGACGCCAGCACCGACACCAGAACCGTCGCCATCACCGACACCAGCAACCACTACGGCGCAAGCCACTGAGCGCGCGAGTTCATATTGGATGAACAGTGCCGGAGCACCTTGTTTTTTTTTGTCAGGTTTGCCAGTTCTGCACCCAGACTGGAGGCTACGGGTCCCAGCATAATCAGAGATTCGGTCAATTTGAAGACTGTGTGAACGACGGGGACGTGGCCACTTCTGCGATTGCGGGCGGGGCCCTCTAAACGTCACTCGTCGCTGACAGCATGACCTGTACCGCGACCAGTGGGTTAGATGAAGAGGATAAGGAGGGAAGGATGAGGAGGAGGAGGAGGAGTAGGAGGAGGAGGAAGAGAAGGATGATCTGCAGGAGGAACAGGAAGGTTAAGCGGATGATGAGGAAGAGGCGGAGGGTGGTGGATGACGGGGGGAAAGAGGTATAGAGAGAGAGAGAGAATTAAAGAAAGAGATAAAGACCGAGGAAGAGAGAGTTTGTACTTGACGGTGATGCTCTCCATTACAGCGCTTAATCACGTTACATGCTAGCCATTGTCTCATGCCGTGCCCTCTCCATATTGGCGTCTCTAAATTCAGCAAAACATAGAGCATGCGAAAACCAGAGTAGAGTAACAGGTGTTTTAATGATATCGGCCTCTTGGGCTGGCTCTCAACCGCTCAAAGTCGTAAAACCCTGATTAGGCAAAGGATGGCCTGCGTGGTGTGGGTAAGCATCTTAGCAGCCACATTCAGAGTGCCAGACAGCGTTGTAAATTCTGTTTGTCGTGCAGCTCGCAGATTTTCTCTCCAGCTTGAGAATTTGTTATGATGAAGTCGTGACGGTATGGGTGGACGTAGTCTGTTCTCTCTCAACGTAGGCGCATACAACGTGCGTGTGTTGTGTTGTATGTGTGTGCGTGTGGGTGTGTGCGTGTGCGTTGACTGCTCGGCTCGTGCTGTCTTTTTGCGCGAGTGCCCCCTTCTGGCAATGATCTGGGGGTGCGGTCTACGCACCCACGAGGTGTTCTTACTCTGCGGGCCTCATTCCCGCTGTCGTTTTTGTTTGTCATCTCTCTCTCTCTCTTCCTCTCCCTGCCCGGTCCTGGCTGCCGTCATATGGTTTGGCCGATTGTGCCATGGGGTTCGCGCCCCCTCCGCCGCTTCGCTCCTCCCTCCTGTTGCTCACCTTCTCGTCGGCGCGTTGCGTGCAGGACCGCGGGCATCAGGTTTGCGCTTTGCTGTCGTGGGGTGGCGGGGGACGGTGTGTAGTGGCAGCAGCACGTGCCATGTCACTTTCAGGCGCGATCGCGCATGAGGGGAGTTGCGTTTCAGTTGTAAAAACACAAGGATTTAGGCCAGCGGGTGGGACTGATGCGAAATCTCGGGGGGCGTTGCTTTTATTATGTATTGTACATGATGTATGCGTTTGTCATGGTGTGCGGTGAGCGTAATTTTCAAAGTGTCGGACGCAACTAGCACGTGAAGGGTTTTCAAACGTATTCGTTCTATGTGCTATGCATATCGTAACGCTGACCACGTGCAACCTTACAGTGATTAGGGAGCGTAGATGTAGCATGTTGCAGAACGTCGACCAGTGTGCAGAGCATTGCCCGTCGTGTGTAAGTCGCAGGCTTCTTGGTCCTACACTGCACAGATGGAGGATGCGTTGTGCAGAAACCGTGGAGGCTCAGGCGGAAGGAATCAGTTCTCAAGCAACGTAGGCTCGCACAACGTTCAAGCATGTGCGAATTATGTGCGATCTGTTGCAGAATGCGGCTCTTGGTTCAGTTATGGACGGTTTGACGGCTGGTGCGACTGCGTCAGGCAAGCGGACGGCGACTGCTCACCCACATCTTTCCGGGGCTATGGTGTCTACAAAATCCAGGCGGCGGTTCTCTTGCATTGTGCACCCAGGTCGTTAAGATCTCCCTCTCAGGAGGTGGAGGAGGAGGAGGAGGACTCTCTCTCTCTCTCAGTCTCTCTGGTTCTATACCTTTCTCTCGGACATGCGGTATCCACTGCTCTGTGCTCTGCCCTGCTCCGCGCTGTTCCCCTAGCGGTGCCCGCACTTGGGGGTCTCTCGCTTCTGGTCTGGGGAACGGGCTCCTCTGTCGGTCTGGCGGCTGCGCTGCCACCGTCGCCGCCACACCATCACCTCGTCGCCGCCCGTCGTCTGGGCTCGTCTGTCGGTCTGGCGGCTACGTCGTCGCCCCGTCGCCGCCTCAGGATGCACAGCATAGGTTGCAACGCACAGACTGCACCACAAAGATTGCGCCGCATAGACGGCACCACATAGCACATATCTTGCGCCATGATAGACCGTAGAGTCTCCCTTCTAAAAGAAGACTAGACTCTATCCCCCCCCCAGATTCAACGGCACCCCCTGTGGTATTGCGATTTCATAGTTATTCTGTACGTTCGTCCATCCGAAGTATGAATCCATACTATCCCAGCCAGGCCGGTATCATTCCCCCCCGCCATCGTCTGAAGAATCCCTTTCAAAAAACGGGACGAAGTGCACACGCGCGCGTCGTCGCGCGCGCATGTCGATTTTCGTTCAAGAACCTTCGGTTTCGGAAGGATTTCAAAATCGAGGTTCAAAAACACATACAAAAACATATGGTTTCGCAGCACTGATTTCCTAAAAAAAAGCTTACACGCGCACTCTTGCGAAATCTTAAGAAAACCATAGGTTTTCCAGATGTTCAAAAATACTGGCAAACGGGCTTCGCGCGCGCATGCCGAAATCTTTCGAACGCCCTTGCGCGCGTGCCGTCTCGAGAATCCTTTGCAACAAAAATGGGACGAAACGCAGACGCGCGCGCCGTCGCGCGCGCATGCCGAAATCCTTCACAACCCATCGGTTTCGGAAGGATTTCAAAATCGTGTGTCCAAAAACCAAACAAAAACATAAGGTTTCGCAACACGGATGTTCAACAAAAGCGTGCCCGCGCGTTCTTGCGTCGTCGTCGTCGTCGCCGTCCTCCCTCCTCCCTCGTCGTCGTCGTCGTCGTCCTCTGTCTTTTCTCGTCGTCGTCGTCTTGGCGTCGTCGTCGTTTCTGTCGTCGTTGTCGCCGTGGTCGTCCTTCCTCCCTCGTCATCTTCGTCGGCGTTTCGTCGTTGTCCCTCCTATTTCGTCGCCGTCGTCGTCGTCGTCGTCCTCCCTTCTCCGTCGTTGTCGTCGTCGCCGTCGTCGTCCTCCCTCCTCCCTCGTCGTCGTCGTCGTCTTCGTTGGCGGCGGCGTCGTCGTCGTCGGCGTTTTCATCGTCGTCGACGTCAACGTCGGCGTCGTCGTCGTCGGTTTTGTCGTCGTCGTCGTTGTCGTCGTCGTCGAAGTCGTTGGAGACGTCGTCGGTGTCGTCGTAGTCGTTGTCGGCGGCGTCGTCGTCGTCGTCGTTGTCGCTGTCGTCGTCGGCGTCGGTGTCGTTGCCAAGTGCCATGTGGTACCCACTGTCACGATCTTAAGCAGTCGTGTGACCAAGTTGCGGGTGGGAGGGTGGGATGTTTGCACGAGCATAGATTGCATCACATGGTTTGCACAACATATCGAAGACGCCTACGGCGAATCACCGCCGCCCCCTGCCTTTTTGAAAAGCGCCTCTGTGGCCAAACGTTGTTAGGTCCAGAGCTTGGCTCAATTATCGGACCAGGTGTTCCCCGATCCGCTGTGGAAATCTTCCGGGGAACGCTTGGAGAAGCATGAGGCGGAGGAGGTTAGCAAGAAAAAGGGGGAGGGAGGAGGAGTCCTTTTGGGAGCCTCTCGGGGCACTCTTGGGCTCTTGGGGCTGCTTGGGAGTTTCCTGCCTCTCTGATCGTTTTAGAGCGTTCCTGGCCCGTCGGGAGACGTCTAGGGGGCCTCTCTGAACCGACCACTTGGGCCTTCGTGGGGCGTTTCAGGGCCGTCTTGAGAGCCATCTAGGGCGTCTTGGGGACCTCTTCGGCCATTTTGGGGCTCTCTCGGTCTCGTCGTGCAGGCTTCTTGGGCCGTCATGGGGCCATCTTGGAAGTTTTTGCGGCCAGATTGGGCCGATCTTGGAAGGTTGAACAAAAAAACAAATGCCCAATTCGATTAGAAACGTGAGGAACATCAGCGAGTTTGGTCTCTTCGGGCTCTCTTGGAGGGTCTCATGGAGGCCTCTGGGGCCGTCTTGGAGACCTCTTGGGGGCCTTTGTGGCCGTCTTGAGCCGTCTTGGAGGCCTCTTGGGTGAACTTCGAGAAATATTGGATGTTCGTTTTGGAGACCACCTTGCACCATCTTGGGCGAACTTGGAGGCCACCTGGACCGTTCTGGAGGCCGTCGTAGGCCATCCTGGAGCATTCTGAATGTAGGTCAGAGGGCTGGGTTACATGTAAGCGAACGTAGCGAGCGTACGCGCCGCCGTTTGCTGTTCAAGCGGTCGGCGCCTCCATTTGCCCAGATCGTGAACGCAGCGATCGATCCGCTACTACATGGAAACAATCCCACCCCTGGAAGATGCCTCCCGCATCTATCCTTTTCTCGCCATGAATACATGTCACGATGTCCACCTCGCTGTTTGCTTGGTGGCGGAGCTTGCCCCACTCGTGTGTGGGCAGCTCTGCTCCGTATATCGCACTCCTACCTCACGGTGTGGCAGGGCATGCCGCTAGTACCACTGCGATGTCTGAGCGTGACCGCTGGCCAGGAGGCGGAGACGCCAATAGGAGGAACGCTAGTCCCCCTACCTGTGACGCCCGCCTGGCTACCACCACCAGCGCGTGCGCCACGGCTCTGCGCCACTGGCCTTTGGCTCATGCTGCCACTGGCCTTTGGCTCATGCTTCGCCATTATCCTTGATCGGGGGCGGAAAGGAGGGGGGTGATGACTAGGGGGGGGTGGACATCATGGCGTGGGCCATGATATTTTCCCAGATTTCATGGCGCCTCTTATTATTCCATGACGTCCCTGGCCTCCCCGCTGGGCCGCGCACATGCCGCCGGCCATGATCTGCACCCCCCCCTCTTGGACACCCCCCTCTTGGCCGCTCCCGACTTGAACCAGCGCGGGGACATTCCTCCACAGCCCATTTGTCGACTCACGGCGACAGATACACCAAAGGTAATTCTCAATGCCAGCTAAGCCACGACATGGAAACAGGACCTAAATCTTTCAAAGTTGGTATCATCTGGCCATGCATCGGCTGTGCTATTGGTTGCGTGCATCGCGGCAGCCACCACGACGGAGGTGAAATCACCACCAGAGACCTTCATTGGAACCCAGCGGAAAACGCATCGTTCTTCGCGTTCGCTCGAGAAGTTCACGCGTGGCTGAATGTCACCAGCGCCCGCATGACACCGCAACGACAGGCTGCGTGCCTGCAGCGTGGATGAGGCGGGGTAGCTCGCACTATCGCGATGCGGATGCCGCCGCAGATCATCAACTGCGGCGCGACTACACAAGTTGCCCACGCGGGCCCTGCCACCTGCATCGCGTTTCTCCCGGGCGCCAAGTTCGAGGAGCTAGAGAGCGCCAGCTCACTTCGGGAGAGCGCCCATGGGCTTCAGGCCTGGACTATGCCAGAAAATGGATTTAGCCCGCGCTCGGTTCGAGATCGCTCGTCTCGACGCCGATTCCGCGTGCTTTGCCATGCCGAACTTTCAGTTGCCCACCGCTGTGCTGATCGGAGCGTCACGGTTCGGCCGTGGCAGAGCTGTCGAACTATCTCAATCCGTCAAGCCTCAAGTGCTGGGCACGCAGCAGCAGCGCGATGAGCTGCTGCGCCGCGCGCGCAGCTTCGGTCACTCAGCCGAGCGCGCGCCCGGCTAACACTGGCAATGCGTTGCTGGGAGGCGGAGGGCGCGGGGGCGCGAATGCTCGCATTGCCGCCGCCGGCGGAGACGCGGCCGCGCCTATCGTCATCTGGGCTGGCCCACGCGGCCCAGAACAAGCCGCGGCTTCCTTGGCTGGCCAGGGAACTGGCACAGGTCACGCATCATCATCTTCACACCAGGGCTGGGGACTGGGTGCTTGTTGCGACCTCCTGGTGGCATCTTCGGGCTCTTTACGGCTGTCTTGGGTTCCTGAGGCGTTCTGGATGGGCTCTTCAGCACTTCTTGTGGACTCTTGAGGCCCTCGTGGGTCCTCTATGGTCCTCCTTCAATTGTCTAGGACGGATTTGTGGCACCCCAGTAGCTCTGGGGGGGCGGGGAGGACGGGAGGCAGTATTGAAGAAACGTGTTGCTCAGAGGCATTGAGTGGAATATCCTCGTGTCGTGGGTAGAATATTCAAATTCGGACATCGCACAACAAAAAAAACACTCTTACGGCTCCAAGCCCCCAATTCAAAGGACTCCCGCGTGCTGACAGGTGGTTCCAGGTGTGCTACCGGGTTGAGATGCCATGGACATCAACATCAGTTCGTTTTCGATGGTTTTTCGCCCTGGACACTCACGCTCGGCTCGTCCCGAGACCATTCTTGGCGACGCCCTCACGCGCTCAAGACGCTTTAAAAGAATCCCCAGAGAGCCCCAGGAGAGCCCAGCAAGACTCCAGGACGGGCCAGCCATCGTTGCATGGCTGTGCGCCTTTCTCTAGACTGGGGGGCACCATTCGGCGGTGGACAAACCTCCCTTTAGCAAACCTCCCCTAAGTGAAATCGGCCTGGGATCGAATTCGACGGACCTGGACCCGCAAAAGTGACGGCCGCGACGCCCCCTTCGCGAACCGAAAACGGCCAATTCCTTAATCGACGTGTCAGGGTCGGAGGTCTGTCCACCTCCGAACCAGCAACACCGGTGCATGCTGCTCCCTCTTCGGGCTGGCGTCCCCGCTCCATGGGCGCCTCGATCCTTGAGCCTCCCCGAAAGAGAGCGGCCCACCTCAGGCGCCGACCCCACCAGCAGCCCACAGCACCTTCCAGGCGGCAGAGCCTGTTGGCGACTGCGTGACGACGACTGCGGGCGTGCCAGAGCTCAGCCGACGATACAGCACGGTCTTCGGCGGGGACGCGCCCGGGACGGGCCATGCCCGGTCCGTGCTGGACTCTGTGCAGGCGTGGAGCGCGCACCCTCCACTGATCGACCCCTGGATGGAGATGGATCTCGGAGGTGTGGCGATGATCTTGGGCGTTGTGACCCAGGGCAGAAACACCGTACAGCAATGGGTGACGAATTACACCGTGGCTACCTCTGTAGATGGCGAGTCCTGGGAGGACCCCGGCACCGTTTTCGTGGGAAACAGCGATGTGGATACTCACGCGGAGAATCTATTCGACACCATGAAGGAGGCGCGCTATGTCCGCATACGTCCTCGGGGATGGTACGGCTGGTTATCTATGAGAGCAGACGTCTTGCTTTGCGACTTGGCGCACTGCATCGCCCCTTTTCCTCTCTCACCCTAGTTACACTTTTCATGCTGGTGTGCCAACCTGCCGTTTGACGCACGTCAGCCCCGCGGCTAAGTCACCTCAGGCATACAATCAAGTCGGGCCTGTCCCTCTACAGGAGGAACATTCAAGAATGGTCAGAAAACAGTCTGGGGACGATTTGTTGTTTGCCATTGTTGAGCATTTGCTGAGCACTGTCTGGGTATGCTTCATGTTTCGCCCAACATCCCCCTGTAGTAGGGAAACGAACAATGACATAAACATAACAACTCGGAGGTCCCCGCGGATTTCTCAGATCGGCGCTCGAACCCCCCTCCCTGGAGCGCGGAGCGCGCCAGGGGCGGCGCCAGAGGCGCCGCCTGGGGGCCCAAGCGCCGATCCAGGAAATCCTCGCGGACCTCCGAGTATTGATGTTTATGTCATTGTTCGTTCCCCTAATTAATGTTTCGCCCAACATCCCCTTGTATGGGGGACAGGCCCGACCTAAGGCTAGGTCACCTCAGGCACACAAGTCTTCGGGGAAGCTTGCAATAACATGCAATGGGAGAGTCACTTGAGTAGTCGTAGGTCGGGCATGTCCCCCTACAGGCGGGTGTTGGACGAAACATAATGTCAAACATTGTACTCAAAAAATCGTCCCCAGACTGTTTTTGAACTATTCCTGAATATTCCTCCTGCAGAGGGACATGCTCGACTTCAGAGTAGTCTGATGGTACAAGATGCCAACATTGACAGTTGATATTGATGAAGAGTAGATCTAAGGTGTGTGAACTATTGAGCCTGTTTTGCGTATGTGCAATGGTGCGGTGTGGACTATCGAACGTGCGGAAGTAGAGCTCACAGCCGATGGTTCGTGTCGCCGTTAGTCAGTTTGGGTCGTTTCGCGTGGGACATCTTCAACTTTTTGAAGATCGGACGCACCCGTCACGCAGATCGCGACGTCTTTTTGTCCCAAATCTAGGTTTGGTTTCAACAGTTGTAGTCAATATTGGAGAGGCCTGACGGCCGGTGCCGCCGACCCTGATCGAAGGGGCTAGGAGGGGGAGGAGGAAGCGAAGGAGGAGGAGGAGGAGGACGAGGAGGAGGAGGAGGAGGAGGGCAGGGACGAGCACGAGGACGAGGAGGAGGAGGGGGAGGAGGGAGGAGGAGGAGGAGGAGGAGGAGGAAGAGGAGGAGGAGGTGGAGGAGGAGAAGGGGGAGGAGGATGAGGACGAGAACCTCCTCGCGACGCCCTCCGGGCTTTCTCGAAGGCTGCCAGGGCCGGGGGAGTCGGATCTGGGGGGGGGGGGCCCAGGTCCCCCCCGGGACCCCCGCGGGATCCCCCCGGGACCCCCCCGGGTCCGCCCCCCTTCCCCCCCCGCACCGGGGAAGGGAAAAGGGAAGGGGCTTCCCTTCGAAGTATTGACCATGTTCAATCAATTGCTTGGCACGGCATGTGCAAGGAAGAGGACTCTGCTGACGGAGAGAAAATGGATGCGGCTAGAGAAAGTCGAACAGGAAAGAAAGCACGACTCGAACGGAGAAGCCCCTCACACACGCCGAAAGGGTCGGCGGATTTTGCAGCACACCTGGTTTCTATGGTTTGCAATTTGTTTTTACATGTTCAACAGTCACTTGCGTTTCAATATTTGAAAGAGAGTGTTCTACCGCTGTTGGCGGAAAACCGGGTGGGGTCACTGGGTGTTCCCAACCCGTCCCCCACCCCCTCGAAAACCGGGGGGGGGGGTCGCTACCGGTTCGAAGCCCCACTTTCTCCCCCGTCCATCATGAAAAGGGGGGGGGTCACTACCGGTTCGAACCCCCCCCCGGCGCCGCCGACAAACGATTCCCGCTCCTCGGGACAGTGGGACAGTGGTGGGGACACTGGGACAGTGGTGGGGACGGTGGTGTGGGGACAGTGTGGGACAGTGGTGGGGACAGTGGTGGGGACAGTGGGACAGTGGTGAGACGGTGGTGGTGGGGACAGTGTTGAGGGGACAGCGGGACAGTGGTGAGGACAGTGGGAACAGTGGTTGACGGTAGTGGTAGGGACAGTGGTGAAGGCGGTGGTGGGGACGGTGGTGGGACAGTGGTACAGTGGGGAGAGTGCTGGGGTCAGTGGACAGTGGGACAGTGGTGGGGACAGTGGGGACAGTGGGGACAGTGGGACAGCACAGTGGGACAGCGGCGGGGACAGTGGGGACAGTAAGACAGTGGCGGGAACAGTGGGGACAGTGGGACAGTTGTGGGGACAATGGGGGGATTTGGACCGTGGTGGGACAATGGTGGGGCTAGTGGGGACAGTGAGACACTGGTGGGGGCACTGGTGGGCACAGCGGGGACAATCGTGGGAACAGAGGGAACACTGCGACAGAGGTTGGGACGGTGGTGGTGGGGACGATGGTGGTGGGGACAGTAGTGTAGGGACAGTGGGACAGTGGTGGGGACAGTGGGACAGTGGTGGGGACAAAGGTGAGGGCGGTGGTGAGGACGGTGGTGGGACAATGGGACAGGGGTACAGTGGGGACAGTGGTGGGGACAGTGGGGACGGTGGTGGGAACAGTTGGATAGTTCAGTGGGACACTGGCGGAGTCAGTGGGACAGAGGGACAGTGGGGACAGTGGCGACAGTGGGACAGTGGTGGGGACAGCGGGGAAAGTGGAGAGAGTGGGACTGTGGTGGGAACAGTGGTGGGGACAGTGGGGACAGTGCGACAGTGGCGGGGGCATTGGCAGGGACAGTGGGGACGGTGGTGGAAAAATTGGGGACAGTGGCGGCGGGGACGATGGTGTTGGGGACGGATGTGGTGCGGACGGTGGTGGTGGGGACCCGGGAGTCGTTTGCCGGCGGTGATGGGGGGAGTGGGGTGGAACCGGTAGTGACCCCGCCTCGATTTTCTGGGGGAGGAGGGGGGGCGGTCGAACCGGTAGTGACCCCCCCCAGTTCCTAGAGAGGGAGGGGGTGGTGGAGGGGTTAGGGGGGGGGGGTGCCGGGGAAGGGGGGAGAGGGGGGGAGTTCAAGCAGGGGGGGATTTTCGAAGGGATTCCTCCACAGTGAAGCGGCGTTGGATCACATTCTCTCCAATATTAACAGGTGTGCGCCTTGACATGTCTTTCCGACGCGTTGAAAGCAATTGTGCTCAATAACTTCGCGATGAGGCATGTTGGCTCAACGCAGGTGTTTAGCACAATCACATACTTAAGTATAGGCTGTTAGACGGTTTTTAGACAGACTTGGTCAACACGAGTGTTCGACGGATCCTCAAGCACAGTGTTGAACCGTGCTCCCAATGGTACAAATTCCATCCCTGCTCGAGTTGTACGACTATTTGCATGCCAGTGCCACTTGCATACAAAACGCAGGGTTCTGGCGCTCTCATGAAGCACAGAGGGTACGTATCGGCATCGGGGCCATGGGCCAGCCCAATTTCAACTAGCAGCGCCTGCACTTAGGAGTCGGACTTCTCTCCCTACAGAGTGGACCGGGTCCGGCGAGGAGTTCTCAGGTTGCCACCCGCGGCCGCCTCCCGTCGGGGGTGGGCAGACCTCCTGCCCCGACACGTCGACTGGCGAGTTGGCCGTTTTCGGCTCGCGAGAGGGCGTCGCGGCCGTCATTTTTGCGGGCCCAGGTCCGTCCACGGAGCGGCCACGGGCGGTGACCGGGCGAAAACCTGATCCGATTCTTTCGAGAAGGAAGGGCGAACCTGGAGGGTTTCTCCGGAGGGGCTCCTCCTCCTCCTCCTCCTCCTCCTCCTCCGCCTCCATCTCCATCTCCTCCTCCTCCTCCTCCTCCTCCTCCTCCTCCTCCTCCTCCTCCTCCTCCTCCTCCTCCTCCCCCTCCTCCCCCTCCATTTCCTCCTCCTCCTCCTCCATCTCCTCCTCCTCCTCCTCCTCCTCCTCTCCTCTCCTTCTCCTCTCCTCCTCTCCTCCTCCTCCTCCTCCTCTCCTCCTCCTCTTCGGTCCCAGGCCGTTTTCCCTAAGGGTGGTTTACTGAAGGGAGGCTTGTCCGCCGCCGATGCCGGGCGCCTCGTGCGCTGGCCGGGTCCACCGAGGCCTCGCCAGGCTGCCGCGTCGTGGGCCGCGTCGTGGGCCACCTCGTGCGCTGGGTGGGTCCACCGAAGCCTCGCCACGTTGCCGCCCGGGCCGCCCCGTGGGCCACCTCGTGCGCTGGGTTTATGTCGGGCGTGTCCCCCTACAGGGGGATTTTCTACGAAAAGTAAAACATACCCCAAAAATACCCCCGAAAGGTAACACAAATACCCAAAAAATTAGCCCCCAGACTATTTTTGGACAATTTTTTTTTAAAATTATTTTTGGAGTATTTTTCATTTTTCGTCGAAAATCCCCCTGTAGAGGGACAGGCCCGACTTAACGCTGGGTGGGTCCGGCGAGGTCTCGCCGTGTTGCCGCCCGTGGCCGCCTCTTGCGCCAGGTGGGTCCGGCGAGGTCTCGCCTCGTCGCCGCCTCGTGGCCGCCTCGTTACCCTCCTCCTCCTCCTCCTCCTCCTCCTCCTCCTCCTCCTCCTCCTCCTCCTCCCCCTCATCCCCCTCCTTCGCACCAGGGACACTCAAAGTGCAATGACTCACTGGTTTGGGTCCACGCTTGCTGACATGTTTTCCCATGCGGAGCTTGCTCTTGGGGGGTCCTTGTCGGCTTTTCTCTTTCTTCGTTGTTTCGCCGATCGGGGGGGGGGCCCATCGCCCCACCTCCACCGCCCCAGAGACCACATCTTGGCTACTTTTGGCAGCTGCTGGTGGCGACTGTCGGTACCCCTTCCCCAGATTGCTTGCGCGACTGATGAAAGCAGATTGAGTAAGCACCGGCCCAGACCCAGACCCAACCCCACCCCCACCCTTCGGCCAAATGTCGAAACCGAGAATCAGCAAACGCTTACTTTCTTCGTGCTAAGGAAGCGGATGGTCCGCCAAGATTTCGCCGCGTTGCCGCCCGTGGCCGCCTCAAGGGCGCACCGTGCGTACACCACATTGCCCACACCAGATAAATAGCATCACACAGCTTGCACCTCGTAGCTTGTATCACATTGAGTGCACCACGTAGCTTTCACCGCGTAGCTCACAGTTCATAGTTCACACCACATAGTTCCCACCACACAGTTCACACCAGGTACATTGCACAACATAGATTGCATTACGTGGATTGTACCGCATAGCTTACACCACATGACTCGCACCGACAGATTACACCACATGTATTGCATCAGATAGCTGACACCACATAGCTCATACCACATACATTGCACCACAAATGTTGCGTCACATAGCTTGCGCCTCACAGCTCACACACCATAGATCACACATCATAAATCACACTACGCAGCTCACACAGCCATTGTGCAACATATCACTGTTTGAGGTCCACCTGGCAAACATTCCCAGCATATAATTTGGTTGGTGGTCGATCATCCAGTTCTCTTTCGGTAAATCCGAACTTGTTCGGGGAGTTTTGATTGAGTGGGCTCGCCGCAGGAACCGGTGGTTACAACTACGGCAGCTGCTGTCGATGATGATTGCGTGGCGACGATTGACAATCCGCCAGAGGCAAGCCGAAGGTACAGCAGCGTGTTTGCTGGTGACGCGGTGGGTACTGGCCATGCCCGGTCCATGCTCGATTCGGTGCAAGCTTGGAGCGCTCACCCCCCACTGCACGACCCGTGGATGGAGATGGACTTGGGGCGTGTGTCTACGGTCGTGGGCGTTGTGACCCAGGGCAGGCACGCGGTACCACAGTGGGTGACCAGTTACGGAGTGTCTGTCTCGATGGATGGCGAATTCTGGGAAGACCTCGGCCGCAGCTTCACTGGAAGCAACGACAAGGACACGTACACTGAGGGATGGTTCGATACCTTCAAGGTGGCGCGGTATATCCGCATACGGCCTCAGGGATGGCACAGTTGGTTGTCTATGAGAGCTGGTGTCCTGGTTTGCGGTTCGGTGCCCCCGCCGAAGTTTTCGTCGTGGCCATCGGTTGTTTGTAGCAGATGCGATTGTAACTCTGACCGGCCGGCATGCGGAGACCCCTTCGCTAATGCATCGGGGGCGGCGAAGAGGGGGGTGATGACTAGGGGGGGTGGATATCATGGCGTGGGCCATGATATTTCCCCAGATCTCATGGCGCCTCTTCTTGTTTCATTACGTCACTGGCCTCCCCGTTGGGCCGCGCACATGCCGCCGGTCATGATTTGCACCCCCCCTCTTTGACAACCCCCTCTTGGCCGCTCCCGAATGCCGCGAATGCGTTTCTTCGAATGAGAAGTTGCAGGCTCTTCCTGCTTTCACAGCATGGGCATCGAACAAAAAAAGCTTACATACCAGCAGGTGCCCCAGGAAAGTGTCTCCTTCCCTGACTGCCTTGCCGGACCCGCGGGGCACCCAACGAAGGCGAATGTCAGTGGGGTTCCTCCAATTTTCAGAAAGCAAGATGTTCGATCGCACGCATCTGCGACATAACGTGCCAGCGGGATCATGCCCAGAGGCTGCCCGGTGTCGTGACCTGGCACAGACGCCACCGGCTGGAAGCGTGCTTCTGTCGCAGAGTTCCTCCGAACGCCAAATTAATTTCGCCAGCCCGTCCGCCTGCCCATCTGCCCTCAGCCCCATAGGATGAAGTCACTCGATGCCCATATCTGGGCCTCCTGGAGAGCCCGTTTGGTTCATGACGCAATCCTGCGCCTTTCAGGTAGACTTTTGTGAACACCCCCTGCGCCCCCAATTTAATTTTGTCGGGCTGCTCCACGATGCGTCGACCTGTCGACTGGCCGAACTCTTACGCCCTGCTGGCGATGCCAACCGACGTTGAATCGGGAGCATGGGGGCGCGCTGACGTTTGCGCCGGCGCCGTGGTCGCGCAGGCGGTGCAGCACCTTGTCCATCAACCAGCCCTCGTCGCCACGCTTCCGAATTCTGGCCAGGATGCACCACGGAGCAGGCCTTGGCTGTAGAGGCATCGGCATCATCTCGCTGCCCCCAGTCCCGTCGCCCCGCCCTCCTACCCACCTTCCTTCCAGGGCTCGACCCAGCCGATGTCGCTCCAGCGATCTCGTGGACCCTCTTCGCTTTGGCTCCTTTCGCAGCAGAGGCGGAACGAAGACAGAGCGACGGAAAACGAAAACCGAACGAAGACGAAGACCGAACGACAGAACGACGGAAGACGAGAGCCGCACAAGCACTCTGTCCAGGTCGAGCCCTGCCGCCCTCCTCCGACCCCGCGCGTGCTCGCTGCGCGCGCCTCGGACCACTAGGGGGCCGCGTGCGAACCCTACCCCTGCCCCCCACGATTTCCGAGGGGTAGGGGTAGGGTTCACATGTGGCCCCCTAACCGCCCTCCAGGCCAGAGGGGCACGCCTGCCCTTGCCCCCGGCACACTTGCCCCCTCCAGTGCGGATGGGTAGAGGGGCTCGGGCTCTCGCCAGGCCAGCCGCAGCTGGGGGAGCCTGTGGCCCTTCTGCCCCCCGGGGGGGGCCCTCGACTTCTCGGCACCCCGCTCGAGGGGTCGTCGCTTCCACGGGTGACCACGGCTCCCCCCCGTTGTGGCCGGTCGGCTCGTGCTCAGGCGCCAACGGCTCCGACGCCGCCGACTCCCCTGGCTGCGGCCCCGCCGGGGGCCCAGGCGCCGCCGCCGCCCCTGGGCGCGGCCCCGCCGGGGGCCCAGGCGCCGCCGCCGCCCCCACAGGCGCCGCCGCCGGGCGCGGCCCCGCCGGGGGCCCAGGCGCCGCCGCCGCCCCCGGGCGCGGCCCCGCCGGGGGCCCAGGCGCCGCCGCCGCCGGTGGCTTGGCATCGCTCGGACGTGTGCATTTTTCTTTCGGCGAGGACCATCGGGGAGCATCCTCGATCATTTGGCGAAAAAGCCACGCACGAAACCTAACAAAAACACAGGGAATGGACGTCCGAGCGATGGCCAGGTGGGCGCGGCCCCGCCGGGGGCCCAGGCGCCGCCGCCGCCCCTGGGCGCGGCCCCGCCGGGGGCCCAGGCGCCGCCGCCGCCAGAGACGCCCAGCACTGGAGATTAGTGGCGACGCAGGAGAGCTTCAGCTCGATCCTCTGGGTTGAGGTCGTGAAGGGGCCCGACCACCGCTGAGCCTGACGTCCGCAGCAGGTGGACCGGGCGCGGTCTCGGCATTTGCTTGAGCTTCCTACCAACCCATCCGTCATCGTCCCCATCATCATCGCGAAGATCATCATCAGCACCATCGCATCCTTCATCCTGGGACCACTCAGAAGAAGAATGACGAGGTGCTCCGAGATTGGGCATACCAAGTAGATGGAGAAAATTCGCCGCTGGTGCCAAGCTTTTAGCAGGACAAGGCCCCTCAATACACACAAATCGTTCGTTAGGCAATCAGTGCGCCCTCACAGCTCAGTGGAAGTACTGGTAAGTTCTACAACTCATATATTTGAAGCTGGGTGGGAGAGGGGGAGAGAGACATAGATAGTGCGCGACACACACACACATGTGCGACACAGAGAGAGAGAGAGAGAGAGAGCGATACAGAACAAGAGAGAGAGAGAGAGAAACGAGAAGGAGGGAGGGATGGAGGAAGCGAGGGAGAAAGGCAGAAAGAGAGAAAGAGAGAGGAAGACCGAGAGAGAGAGAGAGAGACCGAGACAGAGACAGAGGGAGGTACAGGGAAGCAAAGACAGAGAGATAGAGAGAGAGAGAGAGAGACCGAAAGAGGGAGAGGGAGAGAGAGAGAGAGAGGGAAAGAACACATACATGGAGGAATCGAGTGGATAAGGTCGCCGCAGGCGCATACTCTCTCTCTCTCTCTCTGTCTCTTTCTCTCGCTTGTAGAGATCAGAGTGAGGGGGCCGGACGGTCATTCACTGTCCCCGGGCGCGTGGCCGAAGTGAGGGTCCGTGGCGCGAATTTTGCTTCTTGTTTTTGCGTTGCGTTGCGTCGCGTTGCGTCGTTGTCGTCGTCGTCCGACCTGAGACCCACCCGCGAGAGGCGCACGGGAAACCAGATGAAAGCGCAGCTGATCCGCTAGCCCCCTTTTGGTATCCCCCCTGTTCGTCCGCTCCGACACTGGGGGCCCGCACCCCTGTGCAGAGACGTCGATCGCATCCCACGTTCCATACATTTAAGTCGGGCCTGTCCCGGGAGGATATTCAAAAATAGTCAGAAAATAGTCCGGGGACTATTTTTTTTGAATATTTTTGGGCGTCTTTGGGTATTTTTTGTCAAATTGTTTTTTCCTCGAAAATCCCCCTGTAGGGGGACAGGCCCGACTTAACCATACATTGGGCTTAACTACTAAGGGGCTGACCACGAGTAGCCGAACTGCCCACAGCCTGGGTCAGCTAACCATGAGACCAGAGTCACTCGATTGGGGAAAGAGCGCCCGTCGAAGCACTTCGCAGGGAATAAGCTCGGCCCACCCCCGAGCACCAAGTTCAACGTTGCGGCCCGCGTGGTTAGCATGGCGTGCAAGGAGAGGTTTTCCGTGCAGAGAGGGTTCCCTGCAAGGAGGGGCGGAGGCAAATTTATTCCCAACCATCCTGTGGTGTTGGGTCCTCGTTTTGAAGAGACGTCGCCCCGCGTTCTCCTCCTCCTCTCCTCCTCCTCCCCTTCCCTTCCCCCTCCCACTCCCTCCCTCCTCCCCCCTCCTCCCCCTCCCACACCCATTCTGGCACACCCCTCACACGTTTCGTGGCCCCATAGGGAGCTCCACCGAAGGCCCCAGTGGCTGCGCCCGCATGCGGTTCCAAACCCAATTCTGGCACACCCCTCACACGTTTCGTGGCCCCATAGGGAGCTCCACCGAAGGCCCCAGTGGCTGCGCCCGCATGCGGTTCCACCCCCCATTCTGGCACACCCCTCACACGTTTCGTGGCCCCATAGGGAGCTCCACCGAAGGCCCCAGTGGCTGCGCCCGCATGCGGTTCCACCCCCCATTCTGGCACACCCCTCACACGTTTCGTGGCCCCATAGGGAGCTCCACCCCCAGTGGCTGCGCCCGCATGCGGCACACCCCTCACACGTTTCGTGGCCCCATAGGGAGCTCCACCGAAGGCCCCAGTGGCTGCGCCCGCATGCGGTTCCACCCCCCATTCTGGCACACCCCTCACACGTTTCGTGGCCCCATAGGGAGCTCCACCGAAGGCCCCAGTGGCTGCGCCCGCATGCGGTTCCACCCCCCATTCTGGCACACCCCTCACACGTTTCGTGGCCCCATAGGGAGCTCCACCGAAGGCCCCAGTGGCTGCGCCCGCATGCGGTTCCACCCCCATTCTGGCACACCCCTCACACGTTTCGTGGCCCCATAGGGAGCTCCACCGAAGGCCCCAGTGGCTGCGCCCGCATGCGGTTCCACCCCCCATTCTGGCACACCCCTCACACGTTTCGTGGCCCCATAGGGAGCTCCACCGAAGGCCCCAGTGGCTGCGCCCGCATGCGGTTCCACCCCCCATTCTGGCACACCCCTCACACGTTTCGTGGCCCCATAGGGAGCTCCACCGAAGGCCCCAGTGGCTGCGCCCGCATGCGGTTCCACCCCCCATTCTGGCACACCCCTCACACGTTTCGTGGCCCCATAGGGAGCTCCACCGAAGGCCCCAGTGGCTGCGCCCGCATGCGGTTCCACCCCCCATTCTGGCACACCCCTCACACGTTTCGTGGCCCCATAGGGAGCTCCACCGAAGGCCCCAGTGGCTGCGCCCGCATGCGGTTCCACCCCCCATTCTGGCACACCCCTCACACGTTTCGTGGCCCCATAGGGAGCTCCACCGAAGGCCCCAGTGGCTGCGCCCGCATGCGGTTCCACCCCCCATTCTGGCACACCCCTCACACGTTTCGTGGCCCCATAGGGAGCTCCACCGAAGGCCCCAGTGGCTGCGCCCGCATGCGGTTCCACCCCCCATTCTGGCACACCCCTCACACGTTTCGTGGCCCCATAGGGAGCTCCACCGAAGGCCCCAGTGGCTGCGCCCGCATGCGGTTCCACCCCCCATTTCGGCACACCCTCACACGCTTCGTGGGTGGCTCCATGGGGAGCTCCACCGAACGCCCCAGTGGCTGCGCTCGCATGTGGTTCCCCCCCCCATTTCGGCACACCCCTCACACGGTTCGTGGCCCCATAGAGAGCTCCACCGAAGGCCCCAGTGGTTGCGCTCGCATGCGGTTCCACTCCTTTTTTCGGCACGCCCTTCACACACCTCGTGGCCCCATAGGGAGCTCCACCGAACGCCGCAGTGGCTGCGCTCGCATGCGGTTCCACCCCCCATTTCGGCACACCCCTCACACGTTTCGTGGCTCCATAGGGAGCTCCACCGAAGGTCCCAGTGGCTGCGCTGGCATGCGGATCCACACCCCATTCTGGCACACCCCATACGTTTCGTGGCCCCATAAGGGGGCTCCACCAAAGGTCCCAGTGGCACTGCCCGCTTGCGTCCGCCACCACCCAGCACAGCCCTTGTTCCATGCGCTTCACCCACCCAGAACAGCGCTTCGTAGCCCTATAGGGAGCTCCACCAAAGGTCCCAGCGGCACCGCCCGCATGCGTCCGCCACCACCCTGCACAGCCCTTGCTCCCTGCTTGCGTTTCACCCACCCAGTACAGCGCTTCGTGGCCCCATAGGGAGCTCCACCGAAGGTCCCAGTGGCACTGCTCACATGCGTCCGCCACCACGCAGCACAGCCCTTGCTGACCGCGTCTCACCCACCCAGTACAGCGCTTCGTGGCCCCATAGGGAGCTCCGCCGAAGGTCCCATTGGCACCGCCCGCATGCGTCCGCCACCACCCAGCACAATTGCGGCATTCACAATTGCATATGGTTGGGTCCTTCGCCAGGCTAATATTTTTGTTGTTCAGCATGGGCATCCCCTGGAAAACAACGGTACAGCCCCCCAGGTGAAAACGTCTGGGTCGTTGCTCAACGAGGCGGCCGTCTTCGATTAAATCTTGGTCTCCGATCCTTCATCGATTTGGGATCCTCATCATCCTGGATCTTCGATCTGCTATCAAGCCTCGATCTCCGAGTGGACCCCAGACGAAATCCAAGCTTTCCGGCGGCAAATAATGGAGCCAGTCAGGAGGTCTCAGGCGAAACTTTCATTGTTTGGTGGCATGGAATTCGGCCAGAAACTTGGCTTACACGAAGCCCCGAGCGAGAGCGACACGTCTGGCAACATGAGATGGGACCAGAGAGTTCTCGTTGAAGACAACCATGCGAAATCGCCACTTTGCAGAGAACTCATCCGGTCGCCCTGAAAAGGCGAATGGAGGGTGTTTTTCGAAGAAGCCTCGGATGGAATGTGACTGTCTGGTCCGTACCCCATTTGGCAAGTGTCATGTGCAACAGTGTAATAGGTACTAAGGCACCGCGGCCTCGCGGAAAGCGCGCAACGCTTCTTGTGCGACTTCTACGGTCTGGATTTCTTATCCAGGGGGTTGTAATTGGAATTTGGCGATGCAGCAGCTTCATCTGGACATGCGTTACCGCCAAGATGCTGAAATGAGGAACAGCTCGGGTTTATGACAGGGGCTCGTTGTTTTCTAGTCAGGTCCTTCTATGGGTGTTTCTTTAGCGCTCCTGTAATCCCAGCCGCTTTCCTGCCGTGCCAAGCTGCGCTTCGGTCATTCTTTGACGTTCTTTACAGCAGCAGTTTTACTGTAGCTGGAGGGCCGATGCAAAAACAGCAGTCAGCGGGCGCGCAACGCTTGGAAGCCCAATGCCAGGAGGCCTCTGCAGCTGCCTGGTTCCAGCTGCGGTGCAGCGCACGGCCGCGCGCTCCTGTGCAACGCCAGGGCACGGGCGCCGCGCCACAAGATTTCGGCGGGTGCCGTTCGCGGTCGCCGGCACCCGAACGTACCACCTTGTTGCACACAGTGGAGACCCCTGCCAAGAAGCACCCTGTTTGCCTCCAGTGTACCATTGGTTTCTTGGGTTTCGATGGCCTTGCTAATTATGGGAAGCGCGGCGTTCCAATGCCAAACATCAATGGAGCTCCTGAGGTCTCAGGGTTGGGTCCCTTGTGGAAGGAGTCTCTTGTGGTCGGGCCCCTACTGCATTCAGGAAGGGGAAAGCATGGGGAATCCTGGGATTTGTGTGGATTTGTCGGTGCGTCCCTGGGCCCCCTGATGCATGCCAGGGGCCACGTCAGGGGCGGATGGGCTCACGGCCGGGAAGGCGGGGGCATCGACCCCGCATCGCCCACGGCAGGGCTGAACC